CTTTCTTCATTCAATTTGACACATGTAATTCATTGAAATACATTCATTGTATCTTCAGAACACATTTTCTTACTGTTTTATGCATAGATTAAAAAGATAATGACATTAATTGTTTTCTAGGAGAAATTTATTTTTTCTAATAAAATTATTATTAGGTATTATGAGGTATTTTCACTGTATGTACTTGTCTTAAAAAGATGCCCATCATTTGACAGTGAAAGTTCTGAAATTCTGTTAATAATAAACTCGAAATAAAACATTTCACTAAAATTAGGCAAAAACTAAATAATTCTATAAAAAATATTTATGATATCAAGACCACCATCTGGATATTTGACATCTACATTATGAGTGGTGCTGTAATGAAATCTAAAATAAACTGTGGATGTAATGAGCCACCTCGAATGATGGCAAAATTTTATATGTTTAGAAGACAATCCATTGCATACATTATGCGTTCATTTGTAACTTAAGTTAATTCAATGTGGCATACTAGTGCTTTAAAGTTATAAATTGATAGCAGGGACACAAGTGGAGCATTCATGTCCAGTTCCCTTAATCAATTCGATATTGTCGACATCGCAATGTTGACAATGTTGATACGATATCGTGTATATATTGTCTACATTGATATTGTTTCTACATATCAACAATGTCAACGTCGACTTTGCAGTGTAAACAATGTTGATACGATATCGTGTTTACATCGTCTACATTGTTATTGTTTCTACATGACGACATCGTTGACATCGCAATGTTGACAATGTTGATACGATATTGCGTTTACAACGTCTACAGCAAGGAATTCAAATATTGAGTATATTCAAGTTGCTTCTAAACATGTAAAATGTAAATATAAGGAATGTTTTAAGTTTAGTGTGAGTTATTGGTGTGTGAATCACAAAGACTTGCACTTAGGTATATTTTTCATGAAGTGCTTGCATTGCGATGTCGACGATGTGAACGATGTAAACAAGATTTTGAAATGGCAATGTTGACACGATGTCGACTCGATATCGACCAACATTGCGATGTCAATGATGTGATTGATGTAAACAAGATTTTGAAAAAGGCAATGTTGACACGATGTCGACTCGATATCGACCAACATTGCGATGTCGACGATGTAAACGATGTTTACAAGAAAAATAAGAAGGGCAATGTTGACACGATGTCAAGTCGATATCGACCAACATTGCGATGTCGACGATGTAAACGATGTAAACAAGAAAATTCAGAAGACAATGTTGACACAACGTCAACTCAATATCGACCAACATTGCGATGTCGACGATGTGAACGATGTAAACAAGAAAAATAAGAAGGGCAATGTTGAAACGATGTCGAATCGATATCGACCAACATTGCCATGTCGACGATGTGAATGATGTAAGCAAGGAAATAAGAAGGTAATGTTGACACGATGTCGACTCTATGTCAGCCTACATTGGGATGTTGAAGTATTGAACGATGTAAACAACAGAATAGGGAAGGCAATGTTAACAAGATGTTGACTTTATATTGTTAAACAATGTAATATATAGAGAGATAAACAAAGGTATTATTGTCATGTTAAATATGTCATGATATTAGGAGAACTGGTATTTTTACAGCGATGTCGACACTATCGAAAAAACATCATGCACTGGACATCCTCAAGTGGAGTGACGACAGTCTATTATTCTGAGTGTCTTTCACTTGTGCCACCTCCAAATATAAAGGCATAAACGTACTCCCTCCAGAATTAACACATTATGAGTGAAAGGCGGATCTCAAATTTTAGGTATACGTACATTTACAGGCCGATCAAGTGTCGATTGCGAACTATAATGAGATGATTTCAATGTAAAGATTGAAATTTGCTACAAAAAAATGATCAATCTATAATTAGAAGATTAAGTCACAAAAGCAGAGGGATCTTCATGCTGGAAAAATTATGTAAAAATAGATACAAATATACAACATTAATTATTGTGTTCACCAAAGACACCAAATTCCTATATAACACTGCTTTTTTAACACACTTTGGTTATCATAATTTTCTACATACTAATTACTAAGAGATAACTGAAAAACAAGCTACCATTTCAACATTTATTACGTTAAAAATAATAATTGGTGGATGTTAGCCGCATTAACATTTTTGTGGGGAAACTGGGGAGCCTACCAGTGCACCAGTTTAACTTCACATGTAAAGGACACACTGGGGGCCTGTGTGAACATCAGTGCCCGAGCCTGAACGATCACCAGCGTTCTAAGGAGGCAGGCATGACCTGCCCTTCTCATTCTGTCTCCTGCAGTGCTACCTGGTTTAAGTTTTGCATGGGAGAGGCATACACAAGCCTAATTGTTACATGCACCAGCCTGTAGCATCCCCTCACTCAGGTAAGGTGGATGTGGCCCCAGCCATACCCGGTGTGGGCCTCACTATGCCAAAAACATTAGAATACTGACAATATGGCACAGTTAACTGTGTCCTGACTTTGTATATTTTAAGTTAGTTACACTTTAACTTAAATCCTGTATTTAAACCCCATGCTTTGGGAGCAAGTGGGGTGAGACAACCAGGTTTTGGAGCAAAAAGTATCAACACCTACCACTGCGGACTCCCCAGTCCCCAGCCCCCAAAAATAGATGCGACAATAAATTTCCAGACATGAATGTAAAAGTTAATATTGAATCAAAGTTTGTTTATGAGCACAAAACACATTTTGAATCCAAAAGTCATATCTGCTAGTCTCGACACACGTCTTTCTGTCATCTTTTCAGACTTCTCAAGATCTGTTACCAAAATTACTACAGTAACTGGTACCATATCTTCTGATGACTTGTGAAATATAGAAAACAAAAAATCAGGTATCTGTTGTGATTTTTTTAAAGGAGGTGGAAGGTGGGTGCTTCTAAAATCATAAAACTTGTGGGGTTTTCAGCAGAGGTATACCGGATATCGAGTATAATTAACTCGTACGTAGTTCAAGCTTGCGGGATAACTCATACATAGTTTAAACCATCAATACAGAGTGTTCCAAAATTAATACTGACTATTTGATATAAAATCAAATAATCCTAATTATTGTGAATAATGACATTTATGTAATTTGTGACGTGTATGCTTATTTTCTCACTTTTGTAATTAAAATAACGTTTTTCAGTATTTCAGACTTCGGTGTTTTAGTTTGTCAGTCTAAGGAAGCAATTGTCCAATCATATTCCAATTCCATGTCACATGATATATAGATAGCGTCCGTTCAGAGAATTTTAGTGTAAACAAGGAGAACTTTTGTTGACTTCCCACCCTCCGTCCTCATCTTCCACTTGTTAACTTGTTATCAGCATTGTCAATTTTAAGAAGGATAATTTGTGTTACATTCAAAGACTGTTGCTTTTGTCTTGTATGAACAAATGATAATTCTGTTCCTGTATTGCTCCTTTTTGTTGTCTTTATATCAAAATATCATTTTTTGTATAACTTCTATGAAAAAAATTATGTTGTATTTTATTTTTTAAAGTTATGTAACAAGGGGGATCACTTTGTCATACTCAGAGATTTTAATAAAAGCAACTTGTACAGTCAGTTTCCCTGGCCTGGATCTCCCGTTAGTTTGAAATGTGTTATCTATAGAATGAATATTTGACTTATTGTCATCTAATAAATGACACTTTTTTACAGAAAACCTATGTTATGTAACGTTTTGATAGTTGTGTTGTATGATATAGAATTTTGCCAGATCACCAATACATGTATAACATAAAGCTAATTTTAGTTGATATTGTTGTCAGAACTAATGCTAATATAATTGTTACTCGTTTTTATTAAGTTGGAATCTCGGTGAAGATCTGTACTTTTTTATTTATTTCTTAATCCTTCAAAGATTGACTTATGTAAGAAATAACAAATTCCGACAAGGACATTTTATACACTTTATATAGATTTAGAAAAAAAAATGTTTTATTCCTCATGAGTTCAAAAGAATATCAGCAAGAATCGAGGAAATTTGGGCTCGCCGTTTCAACAAATGTTTTTCTGGTACATTTAACAATTTTGACAACTGATTAAAAGATAGAGGAAAAAAGATATTTTTTTCATTGTATTTTTCATGGCTTGTATTATGAAACAGTTAATCAAATCATCCGATAATCTATGTTCATGCGCTATTTCTAATTCCACAATCTGTTAATTAAAAGTCATCAAGTCAGCTTATTTTCTTGTAGTAATATTACGTCAAATTCAGTGTCTATGGTTGCTTCCTGAAACTCTATTATGAGTGTTCTCTCTATATGTTATTTTTAAGTGCTCTACTTTAATTATGTAATAAGGTTTAGAATACTTTGTATAATACATTTTTACAGACATAAAAATATAAACGAAAAGAAGCTGTCAACAACAATTTATAATGCAAACTACGACTTCTCGTTGATTTAAGTCCAATGTTTAAAACTCTGACTGCAATTAGTGAAAAATTTTAATTAAATATGATTCAATGTTTATATCAATTTTGAATATAGTTAACTGCATTTTATTGAAAAGTAAAATAAAAAGGAACAGAGAGGAGAAAAGAACTTTTAATTTGTAGGATATATTTTACGGTCTTTAAGTCCCAGCCTTTGAGCTATCCGTTTGCTTTCCTGTAAATATATTTGTATGCTTGTTAGATAATTCCTCTTGCATTGCTTTTCCCTCTCCATTGAGTCAAATTATTTTTTATCTAATAAAGAATCTTTGATGGCGAAAAAGACATAAGCAACACAATAACAAATAATTGCTTCCATAGGGAAGTCGTAAATGTTTAATTCCGGTTGAGGATTTATAATAATTCCTTTTAAAGTCCCCTCATCCATTTAAGCAAAAGATGACAGAATAACAGCATCGTAAACGATCTGATGTTTCAAACTGGAATAAAATCGTATTGCTTTGGATGATAATAAGTGTTTTAAGATTGTTATTATTAATACTGTTTCCATGTAGCAGCCCACTTTTGTTTAGCAGCCCACTTTTTCCGGTATGATGGAAAGCATTGTTTACCTTTGTATTCTGTTAATGTACACAAACATTGATGCACATCGTGATCCGACTCAAAGGTGTACCTATATTAAGGAAAGAGATGGAGTAAAAGTAAATTGCTCCTCCCAAGAACACAAAGCCGTGCCAGATTATTTATGCAAAAATAACCAGACTTTGAAAACTGTTTCCAATAAAACAATAACTTTTACCCCGAAGCAAATTACAGAGCTGGACTTATCAAACAACAGCATCAAAAATTTTTCTCACAACCCATTCTATTGTCTCGTGAATTTGAAAGTCTTAAATCTCGAAAGAAATAAGGTGAAACTTTCAAATGAAATTTACTACAAAGGATTGTTTTCGCCTTTGGTATCCTTGCGCGATCTGAATATCAAACACAACTCAAAAGATGGAGTTATAAATGACACAGTTTTTGGAGAATTGATCGAATTAAAGGTGCTTCGCATGGACACGCCAAATGGAACCGTTTTTGGAGAACACTTTTCTCAGTTAAAGAAGCTGTATAATTTGGATCTTTCAGGAGTAAATGGATACTGTTATATTAGACGGATTGAAAACACAACTTTTCAATACTTTCCATATCTGAGAATTTTGGATCTCTCGGCATGTATGATTAAAAATATTGATGCTGGGGCTTTTGGTTTTCTTGAAAAATTATCAGAATTGTTTCTTTCGTACAACCTAGAATTAGGATTTGCAGCTTTACAAAACATAACATATAATCTACGATATACAAAGATAGAGAAACTACATTTGGAAAATATCAGGTGCTTTAGGGGACCTGACACAGAACTTTATGAGGGTCATCTAAAATACCTTTCAAATACAACTTTAAAAGAATTAAACCTAGCAGGCAATCGGCTGCAGTGGATTGGAAAAAACGTCTTACGTAATCTTCCCAAAACTCTCCAAACACTATCCCTGGCAAATAACAGACTATCCATTGGAGTGTATGCTTTTGATTATCGATTACTGAAAGAATTGAAAGAGATGAATGTAAGCAATCAGCTGAACCTACCAAATGTAACAGCTAAACTATTTCAGAAGTGTGATGAGAATCCCGACATACTTCCTTGCAACTGCACACCAGGCGCGCAAAATCTCCAAAAGCTCTCAAGCACTCTTCCTTATGAAATGGATGAGGGAGGGGATTCGTATTTGGAGTGCAAAGAAAGAAATATTAATTTTGGACCAGCAATAATTACTTTTTATCTACCGCCAAAGCTTCAGGTTTTGTATTGGTCGTCTAGTCGTTTGTTTGGAACTTTAGGTCAATTTGGAATTAATGCAACCCTTCTCAGAAAGATATTTATGCAAAACAACATTTTATACTCATGGATAGGTCCAATTCATGGATCGGATTCTATAGAAGAACTTGATCTCTCTCAGAATTTTTGCTACAATATTTCAGCAGAATTTTTGTCACATTTTTCAGGTTTGAAAGTATTAAAACTGAGAGAAAATAATATTGCAAAGAGTTTATCTTCAGATTCTCAAGGATTAATGTTCAGAAATCAGAAAAACCTTGAACTCCTAGACTTATCTTATAATGATATTGAATATCTACCGGGGAAAATATTTAAAAATGCAATAAATATTAAGCAATTATTGTTGCAAGGTAATAGACTATATAAGTGGGGAGTGAAAATAAATCATATGAGATATTTAATATTTTTAGATATCTCAGGTAATCGTTTAGAGACGTTTACTCCTGTTGACATAGAACACCTTAATCAGCATTTTCAATCCGAAAATCTAACTGTGGACTTAAGCAATAATCGCCTTTCTTGCACCTGCGAAAACATTATTTTTCTACATTGGATTGTAAGATTTTATTCTCATTTTCAAGACTTCAACGAATATTTTTGCTTGGATGAGTCTATCCATGTAGAAAATCTTCAGAAATCATTGTTTATCTTAAATAAAAAGTGTAAATCCTATCTGATTTGGTACGTAATCAGTTGTATTGGATGTACTTTAGTGGTCACCATTACCGCATGTTACTTGATTTACAAAAATCGCTGGAAAATACGTTACATACGATATGTGGCAGGAAAGAAAGTACGGGGGTATCATCGTCTTCAATCGAGTTCTAGCATTGGGGATTTCGAATATGACGCATACATATCATACTCCGCAAAAGATGTATCGTTCGTAAAAGAAGATATGATACCCAACCTTGAAGATAAGAGTAGTGGTCAAATAAAACTAGCAGTAATGCATAGAGATATGGAGCCAAGCGGAGATCATGCAAATAATATCATGGACTACATCAGTCGAAGTAAAAGAACCATTTGTGTAGTCAGTAGAAAATTTCTGGAATCGGACTGGCAGGATTACGAATTAAATATGGCCAGAATGGAAGGAGTTCAGACAAGAAAAGCATTGAACTTTGTTCACTTAATTCTTATGCCAGATGTATGCAAGTCAAAATATCCCCAGAAAGCCAGTGATTTTATAAAGAAAGGTTATTATCTGGAATATCCCGAGGAGGCTTTTGGACAACAAGTGTTCTGGGAAACTCTAAGACAGGAGATATTGAAAGAAATTGACGTTTCAAATTAACAATATTTTGTAAATCGCGTACAAAATTACGTGAACTTTTTTCGAAATATTTATACCATGGTATATGTCAACTTCTTCATAACTTCAAAGTTTCAACATTGTTTTTGCGGTTTATCTATGTCATGTTCAATTTCACAAATTAGTCCTCATCGGAATGATCAGGTAAATTAAAATGTTTGTATAAAAGCTGATGACCACCATGATTTATTGAAATCGATGACCTGATATTCTTTTGTTAAGCGATCCCTTGGTTTCACCAACATAAACAAGTCTACACAGATTACATTCTATTCCATAGACAACATTAGAAGATTTGCAGTTCAGATTTTCCCAAGTTTTGGTATAGAAGCTCTGTCAAGTAAGATTACTGGTGAAAGAAGTGTCAGTTATCAAAATGTCACAGGTTTTACAGTTTCGCACAGAACATTTTGAAACAGAAGACATGGAATCGGAAAAGGAATTATCCAATATATCTGTAATAGAAACCTTACATTCTTTCAATTTGGTGTATGATGTATTCGTTTTATACCAAAACTGGGAATCTGAAGACTGTACATATGACATATGTTTAATATCCCTGAGGATTATCCGAGGGGCACCAAATGAACTCCTTGAGTCTGTGACCCTTATAGATTCAAAGGAGTGACGCCTTTTTATACTGGGCGACGCGCCTGCCAGTATCATTTCGTTATTCTGTGTTCTCATAAATGAATAGGTACCGAACGACAAGTATCCTCGGGGACAAACTGTCCACCAGCAGAGATACATGTTCGGTGGTTAAAAGAAGGATATGGAGATAACGAACAGTGTTCAATCTCAAGGTCCATAAAACAATACAAAACAAGAGCAGAGCAAATACATACCCCTAAAACATTAGAGGTGGGATCAGGTGCCATGGAGGAGTGAGCATCCCCTGCCGACCGGTGTGCCGTGTGCTCCTTGTCATGATCAGGAAATAACGGAAAAGTATCCGTAATTCAGTGTATAAATAATGGACTAACAATTGGTATGAAAAATGTCAGTCAGCATTTGACTCTATGATAAATTGTATTTGCTGACAAGGTCATTGTATCGACCATAGAACTTACGAAATAATGACTTTAAACGAGACTGCTGATATTCTTGTTTCATCAACTTGCTTGTCAATAATTTACCTCGTTTTAGAAATTGTTCATACGTAGAGCATGCTCTTGCGTATCGAATCAACTGAGATATACTCCGTATGCAGGTGATGAAGGTATATTGCTGCATAAGTAAGGAAACTTGACGATAGAAAAGTTAAATTCATCACGTTTATAATATAGCTTGATTGTTAGATTACCATTAGTGTCTTTTTCAAGTAAAATATCCAAGTATGAAGCAGAAGTGTCGGACTTTGTGGTACCTTTTATCTCAAGCTCACCAGGATATATCGTATCAACGTAGGAATGGAAATTATCATTATTAATTGACAATACGTCGTCGATATATCTAAATGTTGAGTTGAAGGCCACAGCAAGTGTTTTCAACTATTCCTCATAATTGATTAAAGATTATGCTTTTGATATCGTAGACATCTGTATTTTAATTACTAGTAGAACGGAACTCAGAAAGTTATTAAATGAAAATATTAATGTAGTCTTCGAGGACCAAGTCTTCCAACAAACTGTTGGAATTCTGAGGGGGCACTAATTCTCCTAGCTAACTAAATAACCGAACTCTTTTAGTATTTCCATGACACAAAAAGTTCACATAAGAAGAAATAATCACTTGTCGTTGCTTTCAATACGACATTCAGATATAAAGTAGTCGTACACATGTAATGTATGAATTGACGATAGATTTTTCCGTTATTACCCGATCATTAAAAAGAGCACACTGCGGGTGTGACCGGTCAGTAGGGGTGCTCACTTCTTCATGGCAGCCGATCTCACCTCTGATGTTTTGGATATCCTGCTCAATCTTGTATTGTTTTATGGACTTTTGATCTCGAATACTGTTCATCATCCCCATAAGTTTCATACTATAACATCCTTTTAATATCAATTTCGGAGTAATATTGTTTAGAATCAGAATGATTTTTTACCAAATAATTTTGTACTTCTGTTCTGATTTAAGAAGCAGTTGTCTCTGGGATTTTTTAATTTCATTTTATTGTGAGGAATATTTGTAGAAAGCATTGAAAATTTTTAATTTTTAATGTGATGGACTTTAAAATAAAATTGCAAGTCGGTAATTTTATTTCTGCTGGTTTCAACTCTGATTTACACAGTTTCAGCCTATTTCAGCACATGCTTCAGCCTAAAAGCATCATTGGGTGAAGGAAAATTTAACTAATTAAAATGACGGGCCAATAGGTATCACAAGGGGAAATCTTGCCAAAAAAGCAAGACCAAAGTTACTCAGGTGAGCTTTGTGGCCCACGGGCCTCTTATTCATCGTGACTTGGGTAAATGTGAAATATGAAATTAAATTCATCTTCAATTTGAAATTGATTAGGTAGCATTTTTAATTCATCTAATTTTTTTTAAGAATTGAGTTCTTGTCTACCTTGTATTGGATATGCCACATCATTAGCAGTAGTTTTAAAAAATCTGGGATTATAAAATCAAAAGCAATTACTTCCTGAATATTTTATTCAACATTGCGCAAGATATCCTTGCCAAATAGAAGATATTTATTTGACATTAAAAATGTCCTTAAAAGTTTATGGAAGACTAAACAACACCAAAAGCGTATAAGCTATCACAGGTGCAACATGGAGGTTATTAAAGCAGGAAACAATTCAGTGCATCAAATTTAATTAAACTTCCTTCATTTCTTAAGAACATAATAAGAAAGATTTTACGGAGCAAAAGAAATATACGACTCGAGAAACAAAGAGATGCATATCTTCATGTATGACATCCAAATTTCAAAGTTTCTGCAAACAAAAAATTAATTCAATATTTGTGCCTGTTTTAGCATTCACCCTCATATGATGTCATAGGTTTTTCCTGTTTTTCAAATGAATTTCCATTTGTGCTTTTACATAAATATGTAGGGGGGGGGCTTAAAAGATGTTTTAAAAAATGTGAATAAGAAAAATATTTGTTTAATTTACTCTTATTTAGATTTGAAAAAATGTGCTCACGACATACAGAAACTCTTGTTTGTTTCTTTACTCGTACTCGTATACTCAAGCATACTCTTTATATATGTCTATAACAGTTTCTAATTTCTGTTTTAACATGTATTTCTGTACGCTCGAAAAACTATATGCTCCAAATATCATTTAAGCATTATTACTAAAAAGGAAATGATTTTTGTTTCATTCCTAGGGGGAATAAGATATATTCAATAAAGTTCGTCATATATTGAAAGTATATTTCGTCTATATATCTTTGTCTGAAAAGTTATTTTGTCAAAAAAAATAAGAGAAAGAAATAATAGAAAATTAGTTTTTTAAAAGGGAATGTTTTTCTGGTTCGTATTGTGTAATAAGATGCTTCAAAAGATTGCTTTCCTTTAATGAAAAAAATGCATAAAAGCCTACAAGCTTTTTAAATAAAAAACGTCAAATTAGAGTACTAGTTATAAAAAAGTTCTCATTTTGAGCATATAACAGACAAAAAATTCTTTCCAGAAGATGTTCTTATACATGTAGGTATGCTTTAAACATTGTGAAGTACTGAATGTTTTTAAAGATCTCCTTGCAAAAGAACTAGTGTGACAAGGAAACAGATAAAGCGTTTCCTGATATAAAGGTGATGATAATAATAAAAAAATCAAAATACACCTATGTTAAATATATAAAGAGATAAGACCCAGACTCCTGGAAATTTCACATATAGGGGTCAGGTATAAAAGAGGAGTAAGCATCCCTATTGGTTGTTCACAACCACCGTTAGCCCTTTGCATTGATAATGAAGACGGGACAATTTGTAGTCAAATTCAGAGTGAAATCAAAGGGCTTAGGCACAAGGATAGATCAATTGTGCTTACTAGGTCATTAAAGAGAGCATAGAATTGCCGAAATAGCATTTTTAAAGGAGATTGTTGAATCCTTGTAACATTGTTTTAACAGTGTTATTTTATCAGAATCAACTCCTTCGCGACTTTGAGCAAAGATACTAGCCACTGCGCCAAGCGACGTCGGAATCGAGAACCAATCTGCTTGTCTGAAATCGTCTGGACGCTACGATACACAGATGAAAGACAACAAATAATATGACGAGGATAAATCTTACAATAATCCATTAATTCAATTATTAAAATTTGTTTCGACTTTCTTCATTTATATGAATTATTAACTCAAGTAATTTTGTAAAGTAAAGTTGATTTTCTGTTTTATAAACTGATATGGATATTGCGCCCCGCAAAGGAACAAATTTTTTTCGGCATTTAGCATATTTGATGAATAGTTTGGTACATACTTTTATTCATGAAACATATGGAGATAACGAACAGTATTCAAGATCAAAAGTTCATAAAGCAAATTAGGAGCAGAGCAAATACGGACCTCCAAAACATCAGAGGTGGAATCAGGTGCTATGGAGGAGTGAGCATCCCCTGCCGACCGGTCACTACCGACTTGTGCTTCTTGTCATGATCGAAAAATAACGAGAAAACCCGTCGTCAATTATGTGTATAAATAATAGACTTACAATCAGTATGAAAAACGTTAGTCAGTATTTAACTCAATGATAAATTGTATTTGCTGACAAGGTCATTGTATTGACTATAAAACTAATAAAATGATGACTTTAAACTAGACTGCTGAAATTCTTGTTTCATCAACTTGTTTAATAGTAATTTGCGCCGTTTCAGGAATTGTTCATACATTGAGCATCCACATGCTCTTGCATATGGATGAAATGTAAGTTGACGATAGTAAAGTTAAAGTATCATAGAGCTTGATTGTTAGATTACCATCACCGTGTTCTTTCAAGAATAATATCCAAATATGAAAGAGGTGTGTCAGACTCTGTAGTATTTTTTATCTTAAACTCAGCAGGATATATTGTATCGACATAAGAATG